TCCAGGAGTGTGGCAGCACATTTCTCTCTCCCTCTCAGGATTTTCAGAGAGGTGCACAGAGAGAAATGAAAGAGAAAATAATTTCTATTTCTGCTCCTTGTTTTTCCCATGTGGAATGTGTTTGGAGAATTGTTTACCTGGGGTGATGGTTTGGTTGGATTCTGGTGAGGATTGTTTGAGCCTGGTGGCCAATCCAACCCACCTGGGGCTGGACTCTCAGAGAGGTCACGAGTTGAGTTAGAGTCAGAGAAAGTAGGATGTAGTTTTAGTATCCTCCTTTTATAATAGCATATTGATGTATTTTAGCATAGTTATAATAAAGAAATCATTCAGCCTTCTGAATTGAGTCAGACATCATCATTTCTTCCCATTGGGTTCGCCTGCATTTACAATACAGGAGGGTGCAGAAAACAGGGAAAAAGGGCTGTGATCTCCAGGATGGGGCAGGAAACAGGGAAAAGGGGGCTGTGATCTCCAGGAAGATACAGAAAAGAGGGAAAAGGGGCTGTGAACTTCAGGAGGGTGCAAGGCTGAGCCCTTCCCCACCATGGGACAGTGATTATTTCTTGTGGCAGGGATGGAGTGAGGGGGAGCAGATGGGGGGAATCCCAAGGGGCTGCAGATGAGTGCAGAGCAATTTAAATTTGATGGCTGTTTGATGGAAACACTCTGGGAAAGCCAAGGAAAAACAAGGTAAAACCCAACGTATGGCATGGATGTCAGCCTGCCAAATCAATGGTTTGGGTCCTAAGGGAAAGGTTAAGAAAAAAAGGCCAAATGAGTAGATCTGGTAGATGATTACAGAATCTGTAACCGTGTCTTGTGCATGTTTAACCCAAGAATTTAATTTCTGCACCACAGCACAAGTCTCCTGCAGCCCCTGCCCTTCCTCCCACCGTGGAACACCACAGCTTTGGGTGTGAAGGGACCTTAAACACAATTTCCCTCATCCCAAGCCAAGCCCTCGCCCACCTGGTGACACGAAGAAGACGCTCTGCAGGACCTCGTTCTTGGTGACCTCCAGGATCTCCTTGGTGACATTGATCAGCCTCCCCACCGTGGGTGGCACCCTCCGGAAATCCAGGATCCTGCACAGAGGGGACAGGGGTGGTGCCAAGGGGTGATTGGCACAGTGGGGTGGCAGGTGCTGCCCTCACCCCTTCCATCAGCGAACCAGGAGCCTTTGGATCGCTGCACCCAGACTCTTTCCAGCAAAAAAACCACCAAAATGTGGCTCTGTTTGGATTTTGGTATTTTAATAGCTGCCGTCTGGAACAATCTGGATGTTCTCCAGCATTCCTGTCTCTTTCCCTGACATTGCCTTGGTTTCTCCCAGCCTTTTGCACACAAGCAGGGTCCTCCAAGGGGCCAAAGCAGCCCTTCAGACCCTTCTGCAATGTTGGTTTGACATGGAGCAAGGACATTGGTCCTGGTACAACGTGGCTGAGGAGGCACTCCCTCCTCCAGAGGCACTCATGCCCAGCTAATTCCTCAAAAATACTCTTAAAAACCTCAGGGCCTGGGGCAGGAAAGCATTCCTGGCAGTCAATGGGAAGCTGCTGCTGGTTGCTGAGTCAGTAACACGGGGAGAACTGGCTAATGCTCAGCTTGGCTCCTTGGGTAATGCCCCCTGCTCCTGGGAGTTGGGCACAGAACAGGATTTAGCCTGTTCCTTATTGAGCAATGTTCAGAGAGAAAAAAAATATTTGCTTTTATCCAGCATCTTTCAGCTCTAAAAACCACAAAGCACTTCACAAAAGCAGTCTGGCCTCATTTTTGTGGTGGTGGAGCTGCAGGGGTGAGGTGGTGGTGGCTGAGTGAAGCAGAGTCACTGTGAGGATGCTGGGGCAGAGCTGGGAAGGGAATTCAGCTCCCTTTGTTCCCTTTCTGAGTGTGAGCTACAGGACTTAATTTAGTCCTGCTTATCCTATGGAAACTGGAGATCCCCACCCACCCTGGCCATCAGAGATCACCTTCCCCTGGTGTTCAGAGGAGAAATCTGAAAATCTGCTTGGGCTTCTGCCCTTATCTTCTGAGAAGAGTAATTCTGATTTTATTAAACACACACCCTGCTGGGAAGGGGTGCCAGGTTAACTGCTCATTATCTGAGGGCTCAAAACTGAATTGCTGCAGTTTATCAACCCAAAGCACACCTTGATGGCTGACTGAGTGACTGAGTGTGTGCCTCCCTCACCAGGAGGGCACCCAGGCTGTGCCCAGGGCTCTGCTCTGCACTTGGTTGCAGGGGAGGGACAATGTGTGACAGCCAGGTGAGAATCTGATCCTTCCAACCTCGACTGCCCCTGCTCTCATGCAGTGGCCAAGGCAAAGCTGGGGTGTCAGGTGAGAGCCAGGAGGGTTTCCTTTCCTTTCCTTTCCTTTCCTTTCCTTTCCTTTCCTTTCCTTTCCTTTCCTTTCCTTTCCTTTCCTTTCCTTTCCTTTCCTTTCCTTTCC